TTCGAAAACTTCTTCCGCAACGGCACTTGCCCACCCACGCAAAAAGCCTCAGCCGAATAGTCCTCCAGAATCTTCCGGAACTCGACCACCCTCTCCTCCATCTGCTCCGGTTCCTCGCCCATCCTCTCCTGATCCGTCTCGGGACCCTTCTCGCCTTCAACACGCGCCTTCTTCGCTTCGGTGTACAGGTATCCCATTCCCTCCTTGTACTGGTTTTTTCGGAGGATTAGAATGAAAGGTTTGAGAGTGAGCGCTTCAGTGGAAACAAGTGGGCCGCTGACGAGTGCCGTATTGACATTTGAGGTGGATGGCACCGGTGGATATGGCCAAGGCTTGGTCTTGGATCGATGGGACGACTTAAGCGCGGCAATCCAATCCGGTTGCAAGCTTCTCTCGCACGTGCCGGACGTGGTAATAGGGTTGCCCGGAGTTGAGCACGTTGATTTGTCTACTGAAAAGTTGGACGCTCTGCACAAGGAACTCCAGACAAATAAGCAGTGGGTTTAGAGGACTATCGTGGTCGTGAGCCATTGCCTTCTTGCGATCTCGAAGTGATTCGAGCACACCCACAAACGTGTGGGGTTCCGAAAGGGCAGCAGGACACCATCCTTGCGGGGGAAGTGGAACCATCGGGATCGACATACTGTCCGTATGCTCCAACAAGTGCCACTCGAATTCGAGACCTCAAGTTCTTTCTGATATCGGTCTATCGCTTCTTGGGGACAGACGCGGCACGTCACTGTACCAACACTCCAGCCGTACAATCCGGAGGCGGTTTGCCCGGCACGTGGGAAGAGACTTAAAACATGTCTGGATTGCGATTGAGAAAACCCCGAAGCCAGGATGAGACCGGACGAAAGCGGGATCGGTGCGAAACGCTTCTGGGGCGAGTGCCGTGACAGAGTTTTTTTGGAATAGGGCAGAGGGCATATTACTTACCACCACACTGCCAACTGGGATGGACTCGCCATCCGGTTCCCTGGGTTTGCGAGGGGCCGCTTTTTGTGTGGGGCGTCTTCCACCTTTCTGTATCTCCTACAACTCCTGTTTGCCTACAACCTCAT